AGCGCCCCTAGAGGACAGAGTGGAACTGCACCACAGGGTCTCCAAGGCTGTCAATCTTCACAGAAGCAAAGCCCAAACCACACCCACTGCCGTGGAGTTGATTCTGACCCACAGCGCCCCTAGAGGACAGAGGAGAGCAGCCCCATAGGGTCTCCAAGGCTGTTTTCTTTCCAGAAGCTGTCTGTCTCATCTTTCTCCCATGGAGCAGCTGATAGGTTTGAAGTGTTCAATCTTTCAGTTGGCAGAGAAATGCTTAACCATTCCACTATGGCTCCCTGAGCTAGTCCTAGGACTGTAAAAAAATCTCAAATATCTTTTTACACAAATAACGCACACTACATTTTTTTTTTGGCAAACCACGCAACCCCCTCACACATTAGTTTGCTACGTGCACATGTGCGTTATTTACGTGAGTGTGTTATATGGGAGAAAATACAGTAAGTTAATATGTGTAAAGAACTTGGGAGAGAGCCTAACACATACTTAAAAAACAAAACAAAACTACACTCATTGCTATCAAGTCAGATCCGACTCACAGTGACCCCTCCTAGGGTTTCTGAGGCAGTATCACTACAGAAGTAGATTGCCCAACCTTCCTTCTGAGGAGCGGCTAGTGGGTTTGAACCGCCAGCCTTCTGGTGAGCAGTCAAATGCCTTAGGCACTGCACCACCAGAGCTCCAAGGTACCACACAACAGTTACCTATACTTATTATTGTTACTGGCGTTCCTGGGTGGTACAAACGGTTAATCATGCTTGGCAGCTAAGCAAAACGTTGGGTCTGACCATCTACTCCCAGAACCTCAGCCATTGCAAACTCTATGGAGTGCAATTCCGCTTTGACCCCCACGGGGTCGTCGTGGCCAGCACGGGAGCTCGTTATGATCGCCAATGTAATTCTCATTAATATCACCGTCTTGATGTTTCTCAATTTTCTTGAGCCCTCCCCCGGGGTTCCTTCAAAGGCCCCAGTCGCGTCCCCAAGCCTCCCTCCCCAGCCCCGTGGCTGCTGGAGACACAAGGGCTCACCGTCCTCGCTGGGCCCTCCGGGGGACGACTCCGAGTCCGAGGAGCTGCCGGGGGGACCCCCGCCCGCCGACGCATTGCCCGCGGCTTCCTTCAGCCACTTCTTCCTCTTCTTCGGGGGCGGCTCCGCCTTCACCTTGCTGGGCCGGGCCTTGGGCAGCCGGGCGGCGGTGGTGGTGGGCTGTGCCGCGAGACTGCCGCGTT